TTTAAAAGGGCATATATGCTGAAAAAGAAAACCATTCTAAAGGCTTTTCTAATTGCAACAAGAGTGTGAGGGGCCACTTGTGAATTTGACATTTGGTTTACTTATATATACAGTATTACGCTATGTACTGTTCTTGTTATTTGGTTTAGCAGATTGTCCCCCCTTTTTTTGTGTTTTATCCACAACTACCAGATCCTACAGTAATCCATCTGCCATTCCTAGGATTTCTCTGTGGCAGTGGCTTAGCAACAGTTCCAGCCTGAGTTGATTTAGTGGATAATTTACAAATCTCAGACTTCAAAAATACAATCTCCTGACGCAATATAGAGAACTGTCTACAGATTAGACAGCATGTTTATCTCCAAAAAGTGGAATGTGAAAAAACACATAACAACTATTACACTGAACTAAGTCTGCCATTTTAATGATGTGAGTAATTTAAATCAAGCAAATCTTACCATTCTTTTTTCTCGTGTATACCTAAGATTACCTCCAGTTTCTCTCCAGAATATCTCCAAGCACACACTTTGAAGCAGCACTTAGAAGCAGCAACCAAGTTATATTAGCCAAGCTAATGTCCACGACCCTTAGATAACTCCTGTTGTGGTTTGTGGTTTTGTATGAATCAGTTTGCGCAATTCAAAAGGTTTCACAATAACTACTGTGTTAAACTTTTAGGAGAACCAAGATGGCTGCCGACTATGTGCTTCAAAGAGCATCAAGACAGCCACCAGGCATGTGTCCTGGTGTAACCTAGTTACACTAACAATAGACATCACCTAGTTACACTAACAATAGAGTTAATGGAAGCCCACATATATTTGCAAGCATGCAAAACCAACCCTCTTTATTTTGTACAGCTATATTTTTAGATTATTAGCTTCATAAGGCATTTCTGCAGAGTTATATCTTAACAGGTAATCCTTACATGACATTAACTCAGAGTGCAACAAAAGATACTGTTTAATAAAAATATGTGAAAGAACTTATAACAGTTATTAATAAACATGTTCTAGCTAAACACTTGTAATACTAACTAGACAATTATCCTTTGCATTACTAATTGTATATGTCCCACAATTGCAGTTAAAGCATATCAAATCACCTGATAATAAACTAAGCTGTGGATTTGCAAATGTACGATAATTAAAAATGCACTAACTGAACTCTTACCTTCGAAACGATCATCGGGGCTCAGCTGAACTGAATACCCTTAGCTAAAATCTACCCCTCTCCGACTCCTACATAGTCCATATACCTACCTCAGATTGTATGTTAATATTTATTTTTGTAGTGTTGTTAGGTAGGCATTATTTTAGAGAAGATGCTAGAGTAAAGTTCAGCTAGTGAATTTTTAGTTATCAATACATTTACAAATCCACAGCGTAGTTTAATAACAGGTGCCCTTGAACGCACAGTTGTAGGGTTACTTATAAATGGTTAGGAATTGGCATTTATCCATGTGAGACTTTTAGAATTAAGCAGACATCATAATTAACCGTTACATAGATCGGAGCTTTACTGTATGACTCTTATTGATCAGCACAAGCAACTTTTTCTTGTTCACCCTCTAAACTCTAAGCTTGGATACCCTATGTTTATACCACAGATCATAGGTTATAACTATATGCACAACTTTTCTTAATTGATCTGCATTAGAGGTTTGAGACAGGAATTCACAACTAGTTTAGTTTCACCTAACTAGACATTTAGGTGATCTCTAGAGTTGAGCGAACCCGAACTGAAAAGCTCGGGTTCGTACCGAACATTACGTTTTTTGGACCCTGGACCCGAACATGGACATATCACTGTATGTTCGGGTTGGCGTTCGGAGTTCGGCGATTTAATGACGCGTTTTTAAATCAATCAACAAGCTTTTGACTCGTGTGCCCTTAGAAGCAATCACAGCCATGCCTACTAATAGCATGGCTGTGATTGGCCAGTGCAGCAAGTGACCCAGCCTCGATAGAAGCTGGTCACTTAGTATTAGTAAATTATGCCCCTACTCGCTATATCGCGAGTAGGGGTGTGTCTATTAAACAGTGAGCAGCCTGTTTGTCCCTATTGTCCCCCCCCCGGCCCACACTCCTGAGCGGTGGGTGGGGGCCCTAAATAACAATAAGGGGGGGACCTGCTGTCCTCCCCCCGGCCCCCACCCCTGTGCGGCGGGTGGGGGCCCTAAATAACAATAAGGGGGGACATATTGTCTTCCCCCCCGGCCCCCACCCCTGAGCGGTGGGTGGGGGCCATAAATAAAAATGGGGGGGCCTAATGTTTATTTATGGCCCCCACCCACCGCTCAGGAGTGGGGGCTGCGGGGGAGGACAGTAGGTCCCCCTCTTATTGTTATTTAGGGCCCCCACCCGTCGAGCCGGGGTGAGGGCTGGGGGAGGACATTAGGTGCCCCCCTTATTGTTATTTAGGGCCCCCACCCGCTGTTCAGGGGTTGGGCCCGGGGGGAGGACATTAGGTCCCCCCATTTTTATTTATGGCTCCCACCCACTGCTCAGGGGTGGGAGCTGGGGGGAGGACATTAGGTACCCCCCTTATTGTTATTTAGGGCCCCCATCCACTGCTCAGGGGTGGGGGCTGGGGGGAGGACATTAGGTCCCCCCCAGTTTTTATTTATGGCCCCCACCCACCGCTCAGGGTTGGGGGTCGGGAGGGTAGGACAGTAGGTCCCCACCTTATTGTTATTTAGGGCCACCCATCACTCAGGGGTTGGGGCTGGGGAGTAGGACAGTAGGTCCCCCCTTATTGTTATTTAGGGCCACCACCTGCTGCACAGGGGTCGGGGTGTGAGGGAGGACATTAGGTCCCCCCTTATTGTTATTTAGGGCCCCCCAGGCTGCGCAGGGGTGGGGGCCGGGGGGAGGACATTAGGTCCCCCCCCATTTTTTATTTAGGGCCCCCACCCACCGCTCAGGGCCCCTACCCGACGCGCAGGGGTGGGGGCAAGGGGAGGACATTAGGTCCCCCCCTTATTGTTATTTAGGGCCCCCACACGCCGCACAGGGGTGGGGCCTGGGGGGAGGACATTAGGTCCCCCCCTTTTTATTTATTGACCCCACCCACCGCTCAGTGGTTGGGGCCGGGGGAGTACAGTAGGCCCCCCAAATTCTTATTTATGGCCCCCACCCACCGCACGGGATGGGGCCTGGGGGGGAGGACAGTAAGTTCCCCCACCCTTATTGTTATTTAGGACCCCCACCCGCCACTCAGGGGTGAGGGCCAGGGGGAGGACAGTAGGTCCCTCCCTCCACATTCTTATTTAGGGCGCCCAGGGGTGGGGGCAATAGGTTTTTCACTGTTTAATAGACATGCTCCTACTCGTGGTATAGCGAGTAGGGGCTGAATTTACTAATACTAAGTAATCTTTACTTAGTATTAGTAAATGTGGCTGAAAGACCAATTTAGGTGACCAATTTAGGTCACCAATTCACCTTTCAACCTTTTGGTAGATAGCTCCCTAATACCGTGTGAATTAGGGAGTTATCTACTAAGCGACTGCTTATTTTATGTTATTTTTAAGTGATTTCCCTATCCACATTTGTTTGCAGGGCAAAACCCCCATTTTACTTCCTTTCGCAGCCCTCTAGCCCTTTCCAGGAGTTTTTTAGAGCCATTTTTGTGGCCAAAAGTTCGGGTCCCCATTGACTTCAATGGGGTTTGGGTTCGGGGTCAAGTTCGAGCCCGAATCCCGACTTTTTTCAAAGTTCAGCCGAACCCGCCGGACCCGAACATCCAGGTATCTGCTCAACTCTAGTGATCTCCCCTTTCTCCCTCTATGTTCTAATTTTTGTAACTTAAGAGATACTCACCTTTCACGGACTGGGGGCCGCAAAACATGGCCAGTGGGCTCCCGGTTGCAGGGGTCCACAGGGTGGTCGAGCACCCTGGAGTGACGGGCCCAGTCGCAGCTGTGACCCCTGCGACTGCGCTAGTTCCACCACTGGTGGGTGGCATGCATCCCTCAATCTGTAGGGACAAAATAACTCCACCTACCTACTCCAATGTACACTCCCCCTGAGTGAATCTAGCTCATGCTGCATATTTATTATATATGGAAACTAGGTAAAATAGTCTAGCAGGGTCAAAAGTATCTCAATTATAAACGTAACTGAGTTTAGATGTACTTTGTTCAACATATCTCCTGAATCACAGTAGTCATGATGTACAATTCTTTTAGAGAAATCTCTACCGTAAATCATACTGATTATTATGTTGATCATTTAATGAAATAGGGGAAGACCAACTAAGCTTTTATATATTTTAACATACATATTGTTTGTGTCCTCTTCCATATATTATTTTATTTTTGATTGTGTTTAATATTTTGAAATGAGTTAAATATAAACTACAGTAAATACTCAAGTATAATTCTAGTTTTTCAGCAAATTTTTTTGTGCTTAAAAACCCCCACTCGACTTATACTCGAGTCACTGTCTGTATTATGTATTATGGCAACTTAGAGAGCCGTGGCCATCAGAGCCGTGGCAACGATCCGCGAGACTTACAGTGGAGCTGACCGGAACGGAGGAGAAGGGAGCTGACAGGAGTTGCAGGAAAGGTAAGTAAATGCTTCCTGCCGGCCCCCCCACTGCACAGCCCATGCCACTGGACCATCAGGGATTAAGATAGCCCCCCTCCCTGACCAGTTAACAAGCAGGGAGGGGGGGACAAAAAAATTTAAAATAATAAAATAATAATAATAATATTAAAATAAAAAAAATTACAATAATAAAAATGCCCTCACCCCACCCAGTTCACACACTACACAAACACACACTCTGCATTATATACACACACTCTGCATTATATACACACAGAGTTCTAAAGGTAAATTTGTGGTGCTACTTCTGTAGTGATGCTAAATTGAGTGCTGCTGTTTGTTTTAATTTATTTAAATATTTTAATCATTCAGATTTTATATTGTTGTGGATTATTTGCAGATTATATTGAGTGTGTATATAATGCAGAGTGTGTGTTTGTATGAGCGAGTGTGTGTATATAATGCAGAGTGTGTGTTTGCATGAGTGTGTGTGTGTGTGTGTGTGTATATATAATGCAGAGTGTGTGTTTGTATGAGTGTGTGTGTGTGTGTGTGTATATATAATGCAGAGTGTGTGTTTGTATGAGTGTGTGTGTGTTTGTATGAGTGTGTGTGTGTATATATAATGCAGAGTGTGTGTTTGTATGAGTGTGTGTGTGTGTGTATATAATGCAGAGTGTGTGTTTGTATGAGTGTGTATATATAATGCAGAGTGTGTGTTTGTATGAGTGTGTATATATAATGCAGAGTGTGTGTTTGTATGAGTGTGTGTGTATATAATTATAAAAATCACAGAATTTCATAGCCCCAAGTTTTACCCTCGACTTATCCACGAGGCATAGCATATTTCACAATTGTTGGTCACAAAACTGCATTCGACTTATACATGAGATCGACTTATACACGAGTATATACGGTAAATAAAGGGAGAAAATTAGAATCTTTCGTTCAGACTCCTAAAGGAAAAGTGTCTTACGCCTAAAGATCCACCAACATTCCCGTTGCCTTAAATATCTATCGTAATCGCCTTGTCATTTATGGTATTCCTTCATGTGCGTGGAGATGGGTGTCTCAATTGGATTCTTAGTACATCTCACGTGTTCTTTTATCCTCATCTTAAAGGGATGGAAGGTCTCACCCAAATATTTTCCCCACATTCGCATGTGATTAGGTAAACCTGTTCAGCAGTATTACCATCGAAGAAAGACTTGGTCTTGTAACTTTGCTGGTCCTCACTGTCCCTTACATGTTTAGAGTCACATTTGATGTACTTACAGATTTCGCATCTCCTGCACCTGTAAGTTGTTAAAATAAGATTCTTCAACCATGTACGAGAACTTGCCAGTGTTAATGATTTGAAGTGGCTAGGGATGAGCATGTCACGTAGGTTCTTTCCCCTCCATGCTGCGAAGCTTACATTTGGACTAAGGTCTCTTTTTAGGTGTTCGTCATTGACAAGTATAGGCCAAAACCATTTGCATGTCTTTCTCATGATGTCCCAGCCAGCATCATAGGGGGAAATATTTATGCTTTTATGCTATTATTTTGGACTTTGAGTAAATATTACAAGATAAGAGATACAGTATACTGTCAATATTACTATACTATCAATATTTCTATAATGGATGAACCAATAAATCAAAAATAAAAACTGAAAACATTTACATAATTGTAATTTGCATGTTATAACAGCAATCAAAACACAAAATTGTTGTGCAATTTTCTCATGTGCTTGATTTGCATTCCATGATTTATATAAATGTTATACTAAGATTTATTTTCAAATAACACGTCCTCCTTTGTAGTGAATTGTTTAAAATGCATTCATGTAAAAAAAATACAAACTTGTTTCCACAGTCAACACATTTAACATCTGCACATCTGAATTTAACATGTGAACGTTATTCACATCCACCTTCACTGACACAATCTTTCCCTTACTTTACTGTTTTGAAACTTTGAAAATGTCAATAAAAAGAAGCCTCATTAAAGTTATTGCCATAGAAACTCGACAGCAATGACAATCTGAGCAAGTTGCCCTCCTTATTGTTTTCATACACCTGACTAGCCAAATTACACATTTATTTATTAAAGCAGCACTGTCAAGGCTGCATCCTCTTTTTTTAACCATCCTCCCAACTCCATTACATTTGATTGTCCCCCTAGTCATTCCCAAACCCCCCATTTCACCATATTTACCCTTTATTTCTTGCCCGAATCAAGGCCCATGCCTTGCAGAACACGTAATCTACCACACTAGATAGCACTTTGAAATTCCTGCACATGCCCAGTTAAATACCTGGGCATTCAAAATTGTCCAGAATTCGGATGGAAATTTAGACTATTCATTCATTCGTCAGAAATTGCTAGAGCAAAAAAAAGACTGAATTTCAATGCTGTGAGTAGGGACATGTCTATTAAACAGTGAGCAGCCAATGGTTGGAGGCCAGGGGGGCATTATGTCCCCCCCTTTTTGTTACTTAGGCCCCCCACCAACAGCTAATAAGTGGGGCCAGGGGTGACACTACGTTCCCCATTTAGTTTAATTGCCCTCACTTGCAGGGCACGGTCGAGGGCTTGGGTGGACACTGTTAATTATATATAATGATTAGAGACTTTTTAGCTATCTCAGTGAAATGTTTTAAAATGCTTAGTAGTGGCCTCTTCCTTGCCTGCAGAACAGGTTTTACACCACACCCTGAGTTATGTTGAGCAGGCTCGCTTACGTATAATTGTACGTGATGTTAGAACTGCTTGGTTTGCAAAGTAAACTGTGCCAACTGCGACTGGCTGAAGAATGTGTATTACCCTAGACTGAAAAACCTATATATCCTCTCTGCTGTGAGGAATAGAATGAAAGGCTTGATTGAAATACATTGCGTTGTCCTGTGTGTGTCATTTCAAATGGGCCTTTTCCCAGACCTGAGAGAGATAAGTCCATCAAGTTTCATCTTTCAGCTTTTTAGTAGATAGTACTCCGGGAATTAAGGGGCTATCTACTAAATGGCTGCAAGTTACAGCTGTGGTACTGATCGGATCAGAATTTCATACTTCTGAATGAAATTCCAAACCGAATATAATGACCAAACTTTATGCTAACGCGAATGTTCTAACTGTCCACATTTGGTTCGAACTAAATTTTGTCCATTCGCAGGCGTCTTAGTCTAAATGACAGGACATTCAGTAATGGCGAATGAAGCAGCGTGTGATCGTGGAGGAAAAGTGAGTATGATGGGAAAACTTTTTCTGACACTGGAAATGAAGCTGACTTCAGCTCTTCAAAGAAAGTCAGGCGTAGGAAAAATACATAAGACAAAGTCTTTTGTTTTAACCCCTTAAGGACCAAACTTCTGGAATAAAAGGGAATCATGACATGTCACACATGTCATGTGTCCTTAAGGGGTTAAAGAAAACTAGATCAAATATGAAGAAAAGAAGAACAGATTTTGATAGAGGAAGAGAAGAGGAAATGATTGGGAAAAGATACATTCAGCATGACAGTGCCTCTTTAAATACAACTAACACCATGTGTAAAGATAGGTTTTAGTGCTTAAATCTCTTAAATATATAATAGATATATAAGTATAGATTAAGATTTTGCAGTTGTTAACTCTTCCACATTACAGTTCAATGAAGCAGGTGTCATTTTAAGTAAGGTAGCCACAGGTTGTATTTATGTATGCGTACAGTGGGAAACATGTGCTACTTAGCATGTTGCTTCTTCTGTAACCCAATAATATAAATAAACACATAGTTGATATTGACGTTATTTGATGGATGGCTCCATTAATCCATTTACTCAAAAGTAAGTAAAATCACAAGGAAACTATGCATGAGAATAAACATTAGATATGTCTATTTACTGTGCAGAACCAATGAACAACTGGAAACCAATAGTCAAGTTACCAGTGTATGCAAATTATGTATATGTTGTAACACATATGTGTTTAAGCCATTGTCCCACAACAGAACAGCCTGATTTGCACAATGTTTAGTCTCTGGACCAAATGATAGAACCTTTACATTCATTAGCATGGAACAGTCAGTCAGTCAATGCTATTTACTAAACTTGGATTTGTTGGTCATTGTAAGAGATGTGTACTTAAAAATAGCCAAACTGTAAAACGTTTCCAACCCACCTATAATGTCAGGCCTACTGCTCACGTCTAAAATGTGACACTCTTTGAATTCTCAAAAAATTGCCAAATTATTCAATGACCTTAAATATTTTTAAGCAGTTAATATCTATTTCAGATATCTAGAAATACAAATAAAGAGCTGGATAAGATAAGACAGCAACATTAAAATACCCGTAGTATCATACCTGTGAATAAATGTATGATTGAGTATTTAGACATGGAATAAAATAAGAATTTAACCCTTTCTCCTAGTCGAGTGACACAAATTCAGTGCTCCATAACACAATACTTGTTAATGCCAAAGACAGGGGATTGTAAAATAAGAAAAAAGGGGAAACAAAAATTAGAAAAAAAATTGTTTTGGAGTTTAGTATATTTTCCCTAGTGGTAATGTGTTCTGCTGTTTTATTCCTAGTAATCAGCAGCGGGGTTTATTAAAATTCAGAGATACATGAATAATATGGAAAATATTTGATTAGACGACAAGACATAAGAAACCTTGAGTCCCCTGAGGATTAATGTCTAATCTTAGCAGTACATTGATGACAGGCAAATAGTAAGTCAGTCAATACTGAACTCAATATCTTGTGCTTCTCATTTCTGGTCCTCCTTGCTGGTAATTAGATTGTGAAATGATGAACTTGAAACACATCAACATTTACAAGCATGCTGACCAATACTAACCAGTCAAACAAATGCTTGTTTTAATTGGTATCAATAATTAGACACAATGCAGTGAAGCAACTATGCAGCCTCATTAGTGATGGATTTCAGTGTAGAATTTTAGATCTGGGATTCTGAGCAGGAGAACCTTTCGGACAATCCTGCTTTCCCAAAGCTAACTGCAAAACCCTATTTGATGGATACTGTTGTTTATCTTACTTGGATGTGAATTAATTTACTATAATAGTCACAAGAAAAAATAAAATAAAAACGCAATTCTTGGCAAGTTGTTCTAGTATCAAATTACCGTAACAGTGAAGAAGTGCTTCCTTGTAGTTTTCCTTAAATATTTTAGCTCTTTTGTTGGCCTTTGCTGAAAAGTAATACCATCTATCAGGTTATTTGCTTACTAGATGTATACAGTGTGCCAAGAGACTGAAGCAGACTTTTAAACCTAAGTCTGAGGCTGCAGCAACCATCTGAATTGGCCCATAGAATGGATGCAATTTAAATGTACACTGCTGCAGACTCAGTTGTGAGTCTTGCTAAAACCACTTAGATGATAACCACAACCACTATGAGGACATCAGGTCCACTTATATTAGCATGCGACAGTCTGTGAAAATGGGTTGATATATAAAGATGGGAATGGCATATGTTTGATGTTTTTCGTCACTAAGTGTATTAGCATTTATGTAGCATCAACATATTCTGCAGTGCCTTACCATTTTAGAATTTGGCTTATTAAAGGCACACATGAATTTTGCCAGCCCTCAAAAATGCATCTTCACCTGTGTGTCTTGCATTTCTTACACCTTTTGTGTTTCTTATTCCCTCTTTTGATGCTTCACTGCCTTTAGATAATCTTACCCCCCTTTTGTTTTTTACAACCCCTTTTAGTGTATCTTATCTACCTGCAGCCCATTTGTGTGCCTCTATTTCCCCCTCCAGCCCCTCTGTGTGTCTCTTACTTCCTGTCGCTCCTTTGTGTATTTTTATTTATCTACCCAGCTCCTCTGTGTGTCTCTTCCCCACCAGCCCCCATGTGTGCCTTCTTT